AGACAAATGACCCCCCCCCCCATCCAATTCACATCATCAGCACTCAGAGCTGCGGCACAGGAACAGCGTCCAGACACAGGTAGGGGCTGGTGCACAGTCCTGGAACTTGAGAACAGTGGAAAGGATTCCGTACATGGTAGGTATTGTATGCCAAGAAGGCTTTAATTGGACGATGTGGTTGAAGCTAAGCTACACACTTCCTGTTTATTCACTATCGAAATAACGCGGAAGTAACCATGCAAGGTTTTTATTTTGAAATTCTGAATTGCACTGCACCAAAAAAAAACGCCTTTTAAATGTCCAAAAACATCTTATTCAGTATATTGTTGAGTCTTAGAACATGGCCGCTACTCTGATTAAGTGTAAAAACAGGGCATGCACTAGGTTAGAACACATAACAGCAGCAATGCATCAAGTGAAATGAAGAGATTAACATCATATAAGAGTTAGACGTGCCGTAATGCAATGTATTGTGTGGCGTTAAATTTTCAAAAGAGGAAACAAACACCACGTGTTTTTAATAACGAGATATGCAACATCAACTCATGCCACCGCACAAAGTAATTACAGACTGCAGATTTCAATTTGAAATCATGGCTCTCCCGGGTTTCTCTGTGGTCACGTTATTGTCACAATTCGGGGCACGACTCTTCAGTGCCATGGACAGTAATGTATTTCCATACAACGGGATATTGATTACCAGGCAGGGCTCCAAAACCTGATACCACATTTCAAAAGTGCATTATTCCTTCCTTATGGTCACTAATGACTTAACCATGTGATTTGGAATGGAAAAGAAATAATTAAAGGCTTTCGTTAAGCTCAGTACAATACTGCATATCTAGCTGGGCTCAGATTCCACTACAAGGTAATAAGGCAGAACAAAGATCAGATCAAAATGTATTCAAGTGACAGAGAAAGGAACCCCCACCCAGACGAAATCCAAAACCTAGAGTTAAGAACAGTACGACATGAGTGTTACTACAAAACTGTCTTACAATTAACCAACCAATCTATAATGTACCATGGTTAACATTTTTTTATGAAAGACGGGATTGGAGGAAGAATGAAATAGATTTAGGTGGTATAACAAGCTTAACCCCCCCCCCCCAGACCTTCCTCCAATCCAGCTTGTTTTTTTTTCTCCTGTAATATAATAATAAAGTCTCTTAGCAAAGCCCTCCAAATTCCTCTCCACGTTACCGAGCCGCTTGTGAAATTACTAGCATAAGTCACGCAAGCATTCATGCTGGCTGCAGGCAAATGGAACTCCACAGCCCTGGGCCTTGCTGAACGGCTGATTTAAATGACCACTTTCTTGTTTCTGGACTGTAGTGAGGGAACAGAAATCAGATTAAAATACACGTCCTCTCGCTGAACATCAAGGATACACTTGGCAGCTGCACGGAGCTGGCAGAAACACGGGCCTTGCTTTTTAATGCCTTTCATTAGATTTTCATTAATGTACGCTTAGTCATGGTTTTACCCTTGTTCAGAAATCAATGTAATATCCCACACAACACCCCCCCACTACAATCTGGGTTGGAATGAGAAGCTACCAGAGAATCATCTTACAGAACACCCCCCCCCCCCCACTTCCATATGTATCACATACATACAGACAGACAGCTATACAGATCAACAGACAGAAGATATATGTACATTATCATGCCAGAGACACTTCAAGTTTACTGGTTCACTTTAGTGTTAAACAGCTGTAACTTACAGCATGGTGTTAACCATACCCTGTTAAGGATGTGCATTTTAGAACAAAAGCGATTTTTGATGCTTTATCCTCATAAAATCCTTTTACAAATATCTTGTTTACTTGTTTGTTCCAACTCTCTGGCTACTAATAGTGCCATAAATGTCCTAACAGTGTTCCCTCGGATACGTACTGGCGGAGTGTGTTTCTGTAACATGTTTTCCGCAGCGCTATCTGTCTCTGTGACATTTCCAGTTTTCCACCATGTGCGTGCGGTTCCCTGCCGTGGAGCAGCTTCGCATGTACTGTAAGGCGCGTGGCTCGTGTAAGCGTGTCGCTGGGCCCACCGCAGCACACCATCCCTACTGTCAACACGCATCGAGCTTCTTCTCTCCTAGACAGGGATCTGCCCTTTTCTTGCTGAACGGCAGACTGAATGATGGTACTCGTACAGTATTTGGAAATATTTTCCAGGAACCAGTTTAAAAGCCCAGTCAGCAAGAACACGCATAGTAACGTGATTTCATTAGCGGCTCAGCATAGACTCCAGAATTACCGGCAGCAAACAGCCTTTGTCGGGGCTGCCGAAACTTACTGCGATTCCTTGTGCATTTACACGACCTTGTGAAAGGCTGCACGCTAAACAGTATGTAAAAATGACCCTCGAGTTTACATTACAGCAATGCAAATTATGCTCTCATTATTCACCTCTGCATCACTGCCTTTCGATGACAATTTAGTCCAGAGAACCTGCTCAAACTAACCAATTCTGATCAACTTAAAAAAATACCCTGACAGAAAAGCCGAGACAGCAACCTCATCATTTCTGAACACAAGATAATACCAACCGTATGAAACGATACATATAACATATTGGACAGAAATCTTAAAAGCCATTTAATAAAAAAGATGTTTGAAACTGTTTACCCAGATATAATTACTCGAATTATTATGCGTTATCATTAATGTATTAGTTGCAATCAGCCACACGAGTTACACAATTTCCTGTGGAGGCTGCAACACGGTCCCGCCTCTGCCGTGAACTGAGGACAACCGGGCCACCAAATGCCCCGCATCCAGGGCGCCCTCGGGGTTCCGCTCGAGTTTGACAGCCGGCGAACACACACACATGCGCGCGCGCGCACACACACACGCACGCGCACACACACACACACTCTGTCCCTCAAAAGCACACCTCGACCCGCAGCCTCGCGCGACACCCACGCAGCCGCATCACCGACAGGCTCCAAACTGCGGGCTAATGTTTCTCACAACTATGTATTTAGGATTAAATATTAATATAAAAACGCCAACGCGCAGTTAAAAACCGAACGCGGGCTAATTTATAACGAAGCGGCGCCTGCGGCATTAGCCAGCGAATAAGACATTAATAAGTTTACCTTTATCCCACAAGCATTTATCATCGCTAGGTTTTTTTTTTATTTCTCTTCCCTTCCCCAATAATGAAAATGCATGTATTTCATGAGTGCAAAAAAGAAAAAATAAAGGTATCTATTGAAATAAAGGGTAAAAAAAGACATCCGATGTATGCAGCCGGTTAACATAATCCCAATTACACACCGAGCGACGGCATTTGCATTGCAGCCGATTCCCGGCCGTAACGGTATTAATGAAACGTTTTATCCGTTCATCTTATACAGCCGCAATCCGTCCCCCCTCGGATGCGGCACTCAGGGCAGGATAGTCCCCGGTGTCGATCCACCGAGCCCCAGGGTTCGACTGCGGTGCGGTGGAGAGTCTTACCGTTCTGCGCCCGGGCGGAATGCAGCACCGAGACGGTGGAGAAGACGACCAGAAGCATCGCCGGACAGGGCATGGTTCCCAGGCTTCGGTCGGGAGATCAGGGGCCGGCGGGGATTCAGATGTATATAACGGGGCTGAGGAAGGGAAAGGAGAAGGAGGAGGAGCAGCGGAAGGGACACTGCAGCCTTCTGCCGCGCTCGAAGCGGGTCACCTAGTATCGCGTCGCTGAGCGGTGGGAGGAGAATGACGGCACCTGGGCATAGGCGGCGTTTCTGCGGCTCGGGTGTGTGCGGCGGGGGGCTGAGCGCCGGCGCAGCACTTAGGACTCAATCCCGTCGTAAAGGGAAGGACTAGCCGAGGCGTATCTGTCGCTGTACTGCGGAGGAGAGGACCCTCCGTGGCAGGGAGGCGGCTCGCAGGGAATAGTGCCGTAGAGACAGACGTGCGCCTTGGCTGGGTGGGTGGTGAGGCGCTGCGCTGCGCTTTGTGCGATCAGTCTGGGAGGCTCCACTTCAGGGTCGGGTTACTTTCTACAGGACGTTACACTGTCATGTAAATGTCCCCTTTTTCATAATGCATCTCACACAGAAAGCAAGTTAGGTTGCAGGTCCGGCGTAACTGTTTTTTTCTGTATTATTTTTATATATACACACGGGACCTGTTAATGCATGCCATTTTAATCACATCTGCACGTTTTTTTTTTTTTCGACGTCTGCAAAACATTAAGAAATAGATCTCGCTAAGAAGGCGCCACCCATGTAATATTATGAATAAAAATGAATGATGAATCCATTATGAGTAAACCAAGAGTTCGCCGTCCTGGTTTACCAAGAACTGTTTCAAGGAAATAGGACAGAAAAAGCACGTTCTAATGATTCATGTGCTAAATGGGCTGTTGGGACCTGGGGCTTTTGCGGTATGCAGCAGTACAGGTTGTACATTGTTATAATAGTGACCCGTAAAAACAAGATAAATCAGGCTATATGAATAAGTTACTATGTTCATGTATATTTATTTTTTTGTATTCCATTTTCAAGCAGCTGGTGCTTTTTTTTACCAAAGGACACGATGCTTGCAGAAGGATTAATGGTTGCATCTCTGTGACATACAATCAATAGTATGGTTACCTTGGACTATATCATGTGTCGAGCAAAACCCAAGAAAATAAGACGTAGTCCTCTGGAGCAATGTTTTAAGCTGAGCTTGCAGTAACAGGGAAGACAGGAGTGGTGGGACAGACCTGGGACGCAGTATAATGACATGCCTGTTAATCTATGGAAGCACTGGTGGGGGTGGGGGGGGGGCTGCCGTAATCATTAGAGAGCATGTACATATTTATATGTAGGAGATACATATGGTTTCGTTGGATCAAAGCCTTTGTTGGAATTATAGCATCTCATTGTACTTATAAAGAATGTCTACAGTGTTTACATAAAAAATATTGAGAGACTGAGTAGGTCCATATTGGTATGGGAGGTCACTGTAACTACACACTAGTAAAAGTTAGACAATGAAGAAGCAGGACCAGAAGTATGTTAATGGACTTTTAAAAGAAATGCCTGGACCATCAGGACACAATTACTTTCCAGATTAAATCAAGCGTGAGTTTTTCCACTTAAAACACAAACGCTCGGGAAAAATTAAAGTGAAAGGTGGAGAAATAACCGACAGCAAGATGGATGGAAAGAGTCAACACAGCAATGCGCATGCCTTGAGGGAGCTGGAGGCCCCTGCGGGAACATGGCATTCTGGAAGAAAGACATCTGTGTGTCACTGGGAGTTGAAGTCAACTTGATGGCCCATCAAGTACATCTTTGGTTTGGTTCATAATATCTTGAAAATGGTGCTAGACAGTTTTCGCTGCTTTCACTACCTGTCAGTCAGAATAGATGGTAATCACTGCTTTAATAACAGCATGACGTACTATTAGTTTAGTAATATCATGTGTCTGTGGATACCTAGCCATGGGATTCAGATGGTATTGATACAAGGAAACACACCTGTCTGCCCGCATAGTGGAAATTCATACAGCAATACAACTAATTACATAAATGCATCAACATATCTGAAGAAAAAAGGGTTCACTCTTATTATTGGTAACTAGAGCTACAATAAGGAATGGAAAAGGAAATCAATAAATAGTTCTGGAGAATTAAAATAGTATGTTTGGATACAGGTAGCTGGTGGAGGCAATTGCATGGAAAATATATTTATATCCCATGGAATACAGAAAGAAAAGACAGTCTTTAGTCATGGCCTATGGATATTATTAGGTCTATTTTGTTTGTTTGTTTATCTCAGGGATAACTCCTAATTCCACCCACAATCTGTGCTATTGCCCCTTTAGAGAGGAACACCAGAAGCTATGGTTGAATCCTGGTATACACAGACAGCACCCCCTGTCATTAATCTTTCCTCAGTTGCAGGTATTGATCAGCTGTAGCTCACAGTGCTATCTGTGCAGCACTGGGCCCTGCCGAGATGCATTTGGGCTGCTGATTATCCTGACAAGATGAAGGTGGCGATGGATCCAGGTTAAGACGTCTAAATGCACTTCTTTAACACAATGGAAGAGCTGTCTGCACTCCTCATTTTTGCTCCCACCCAACTACTGGGAACTGGGAGCGAGCAGAAATGTGGGCTCTCTGGGGGACCCCAAGGACCGGCTTGGGAAACACTGTGCTAAGAGCTTCTCCTGGTTGGGCATCCTGTGCAGTGTCCCCAACTTCATGGCCTAAACTTCCTGGGACAGAACCTTGCTTCGTGAACACTGGATAAGTCGCCGTGGAAAACGAATGGATGCAAATTCAAAGGCCAAATTCAAATGTTAAGGAGATACGGTGATCACTTCTAAGGTCCAGATCAAAGATTCTCAAAAATACTATCAGATATTTGAAAGTACTAGCAATTATTCCTAATTTGGACGGGAACATGGAAAAATCATAAGTTAAGATCTTTCACTGGAGACTGGAGCACATTGATTGAAGAGGACAGTGCATGACTGTTAAGAATCTTCTTCATCAATATTCATCTTTACATACCAACCACATTTCACTTCATTTTAACGATGCATTTTTATCTTAATATCTGGTTATGCTGCGCTTTGTCATTGGCATAATACAAATTCTGTGATAATTGCAGAATATTTCAGCTAATTATTTTGCTGATGCTGGGGAGTAAGACTGCGTCTTTTGGAACGAGAAACACAAACGGCATCAGCTCAGGGAAGCAACGGCCACTCGAAGGCTTCATCCAGGGGACCTTTGCAGCTTCAACGGAGAAAAAAATACAGAAAAAAGCCAAAGAGCCAATACTGCCTGAAATCTGCAAATCAATTAGTACATAATTATTCAAGGACACACACAACTGTAAATGTATAGCGAATAGAATTTGTATATAAAGTGTCCAATATGCAATGCAGTACTGACCATCAGCCAGATTTAGGTAGGGGACAGACAGCATCATACTACATAAGTCTGTATAGTAGATATATTTATTTCAGATATTTTTTCTTACTTGATCACCATTATCATTATTTTCACATCATTTAGAATAAATAATTCATTGCTCCTTTTCTCTTGGCTTGGTTTTCCGCTGATTTGCGAGGTCTTTCAGCTTGGAGTCCAGTTTCCTCTGGAGGTAGGCCTTTTTGCTGGGCTCCATGGATTTGTCCTTCGGGCCGCTGCCCGCATACAGAACCCCTTCTCTGCTTATTCTCCTCCGGGTCTCAGCCTTGGCCTGGCCCCCGCAGCCATGCACCTGTGTGACAGGGGGAATCACTCAAACCACCACCGCCCACTAGAGCTGGGCGATATGTCCTAAAAATAAAATCTCAGATTTTTTTCACAATAAATCTGATTTTCGATTTTAATCGATTTTCCCCTCCCCTACTGAAAATCAAACTACAGAGGACAAATAAATGCTTCAAAACAAGTTTTAACTTTTTTTTTATTTTATTTTAACTTTAGAGTTAAAGTGCAATTTGACAAGCCAAAAAAGATGCTTGTAAATGAGATGGCAGACCACGCCATTGTAAACACTTTTAGAAACTTGTAAAAACTTCTAGCATGTTAATGAATCCCGGCTTTTCCACAGTATGTATGGGCACCATGTCTTTTTCAATATACATCGCGACAGCGTTTGTTACCGGCTTCCACCGTGCCCCATTCTTATCATATGGCATACAGTCCGAAAACGTGTCAGGGACGGTTGCTTGTTTAACTTTGGATGTTGTGCTGCTGCCGAGGGTATTTTCATTTCTCTAGGAGCTGCACTTCTCCCACTCCGCTGTGTGCCTCTGCTTTAGGTGCTGGAATAAATTTGTCGTGCTGCTTCCTTTGGTTGCAACAGTTTTTAAACAGACTTTGCAACGAGGACTTGTTTGCTCTGTGTCCGAAGGCGCAAAACCGAACCATTTAATTGCCGTGTTGTTTCTGAATCCGCTACAGTGTCTGGGTGCCCCGCGCTAATGTACCCATGAAGAACGGTGCGTTGCATTAGTTCCGCTTTTGGCGCTCGCGTGTACAACAAGTAATAAAATCGATTTTCATAAAACCACATCGTCCTGAACTGTAAATTCGAATTAATCGATTTATCGCCCACCTCTAACCACCCACTACCACACTGGGCATCATCCACTACTCTACCCACTACCTACTGAAAACAAAAGGAACGTCTGAGCACTCACTACCAGACGACTCGCATGCACGGCTAGTTGTACCAACAGATGACTGAGCATGAGGTATTTAGCATATTTCTACGTTATCAGTTTCTGATATTGTGGTTGTTGATGCTCTATCAGGAGTTTGAGGTTTGGAGTTCTGTGTGTCTGCAAACTAGCATCTGTTTGTTCACGGGGGGGAGGGGTGTTACGTGCCTGTATGGCATGTACCAGTCCTTGCTTTTTCCCCCCTTTTTTTCACTTTTCCATTAGTACCAAACCAGTGTTTCCGGAAAAACGAAATAGACCTCTGCTGCTTGGACCAATCCCGGTGTGCTGTCGCTTACGGAAGGGTTGTTGCTGACCCACACCACATGTTACTGTCGCCCGACTTAGCCCAGGGGTCATAACAAGCATGGACCCCCGAGCTCCTGGGCGCGGCCCCTACCTCCAGGGGTGAAAGTAAGCCGGTACGCTCCGGTACGACGTACCGTTATAAGATTTATAAGGGTCTATGCGGTCTAAAAAACACACATTTACAATGAGTAACGTCCGCTGTTTAAGTTGAAAACACATCTACCCACAAAATTTAGTTTGAGACATGCATTCGATGAAGAGAATAGCGTTTAAGCTACTCGAAATAGCTATTAGTCTGTGGTGCACTTGCACGCGTCTGCTGCAGACAGGTCTTTTATTTGCGCTCTGTCGAATTTTGGCAGGGCGTTTGGTGTGAAGAATCCTCTCGATAAAAATGTGTTCCTCTTTTGTGGTGAAGAGAGATATAAAACGATAAAGTGATTAAAAGATTGTAGTACCGGCAAGAAATGAAAACTACTTTTACCCCTGCCTACCTCTGGGATGTGATGACTCAGGCAGTAGAGCCTGTTGCAGAAGGGGCAGAGCTGGCCCAGGGTCTGCACGCCGGCTTTGCACTTCCCGAAGCCACAGACGCTCTCAGCCTTCACCACAGCGTCGATGAGCGTGTCAAAGTCGTCCTCGTCGGGGGGCACCACTGTTTTGATGCTGCTCTTTCCTTGGGGGGGGGGAGAAACATCGTTAGCCTCAAGCTCATTACACCACATAACCTCTAAGTCTATGAAACTACACAGTTTACATCCCATTCCTGTCCAGAACAGCTCTGACCCAATGAACAAATTACCTTTGTTTGCATGCTTGGCCTTCTTACAGGTTTTACTCTGAGCTGCTACTTCGGGATCCTTCCGCTGCTTGGCCTTCTCCTCCCTCTTGGCCTGCTCTCGCTTCATGCGCTCCAGGTGCAGGGTCTTCAGGTCAACCTGGATGGCTGCCCGGGTCTCCTCCTGAAGATGCTCCTCGGGGTCAGCCTGCGGTGGTTCTGGGGGTGTGACCTCTGCTGGAGCCTCCTCCTCCTCCTCCTCCTTCTCCTTGTGGGTCGCCCGGGTGACGGTGATACGCCGCTCCCTGCCCGTGCCCGCACTCTTGTGGCTCAGGCCCAGCTCCTCTGCAATCTGATGCACCAGCAGGCGATCACGGGCACTTAGTGATGCGGGGAAGTCCAGGCGGCTCCTCTCTGGGTCCTCCATGAAGCCCAGGAGCTGCTCTTTGAGTTCTTCTTCACGGACCTTTGTTTGCCCCTCCAGGGTGGGATGGGAGACCCTGTCGCTTCCAGTGCAGGAGGCCGGTGGTCTATCCACTGCCGGGCTCCTCTTCTCAGACACTTTCCTCCTCTCCGTCTCCCTCTTCTTTCCCTGCGTCCGGGCCTCCTTATTCCGACCAGTCTCCTGGTCCCGGCTGTAGTTCTGCGGCACGGCATGCTCCAGGTACTCGAAAGCCGTCCGGACCTCCCCGTGCTCCGCTAAGTAATCCACGAGCGAGCGCAGGAAGGCATGGTGCCGCACCGTCTGCGAGTCGCACACCACCGCCAGGTGGCGCCGAGCGCGGGTCACCGCCACGTTGATCCTCCTGTCCTCAGCCAGGAAGCCCACTTCTCCTGAAGAGACCAAAAAAATAGAAATAGAATGAACAATTGCTGGAGAGAGCTCCCTAGCTTAATGACTGTATTAAGGTTGATAGAATATCTATGATAAGAAAACCAGATGATAATCGGTTAGAATCGCACATCTGTCCATTATGTTGGACTGACAAGTTGCAGAGGACCACAGAATGCATCTGACGGTCAAAGCCGACACCAGGCCTGTTCATTTTATCCAGGGTAACAGCCTGGATTTATACTTGTTCGATTGAACCGTTGAAGGCAGTCCCCAGGAACAATTCTATCCTACCTTTCCTGTTAGATCTGACCAATGACAGCACCACAGCCTCCTTCTCTCTGCCCTGGAAGCCATCCACAGACTTGATCTCCAGCTCAGGATGTTTCTGCGAGAGTCTCTGCCTAAGAAGTTCCACCTTTGGAGGAAAGAAAAGCGCGTCTCAGTGCAGAAAAACACGAGACGGCAAAATGTAAACTGCGTGGCTGCTTGAGTGCTCCACCTGCAGGTTATAAGGTGCAATGACGGCTATGTCCCTGGCCTTCACTCCTGCCTTGGTCAGTGCTTCCACGTGCATCGCCACCACGTCTGCTTCACCTGTCGCCAATGACATAACTCTCTCGTGACTGAACAGCAACTGCGCTCCATAAGCAGTGCTTCATCATTCCTACAGTACAGCTCAAAATGTGCAGCATGTGGTCTCTGCCAAAGAAGGAGCTAGAGAGTCTTCCTGTGTATGACAGTACAAGTCATTTAAAGCCTTATTACATTACAGAAACGATGATAAAACTGGGTTCATCAATCCCACCCACACCCGATTTCTGACATGTCAATGAGACATCACTGATATTACAATGACAGTTTCACTTTTCAACCACCAGGGGGCCTGGACGTGGCCGGTCACCTTCATTGCCTCGGGACTGCTCATCTGCGGCCTCCATCTCACAGAGGCCACAGCCTGCCGTGTCGATCAGAAAGAGGGGAGTGTCCGTCTCCTCCGCGCTGGACACTCCTGCCAGATCTCTGGGAAGCAAGAGGAGATGCACGCGACAAAGCTGCCGTCAGACCAAACCCATTTCCTGGCCCAAACGCAGTGCACTCCAATCCAGCCTGCTATTAAAACAGACCAGTCTGATCTGCTCTGGCATTATTTTAACTAGGAAGTGAATGATTGTGTTCTGGATATTAGCAGAAGGCGTTCATTGATTGAGTTTCCATCAAGCTGCATTAATCTATGGGAGGAATCAGTAATACATTATTAATAATTCATGAAATACTGGTCATTCCAAATGAACATTTGCCTCCATAGTAACAAGGTCCAGGTCAGGGCCTCCAATACGACCCGTAGTGCCAGGATCAGCCCCCGGGCCACGCCCACCTGAGCAGGTGCCCCTCCACGGAGCCGTGAGCAGACAGCCTGCCCTGGTACATCTGCTCGGAGGCCCAGCACATGATGCCGGCGTTCATGCGGTACTGCACGGTCAGCATTCGCACCACACCGCCGCCCAGCGCCTGGATGAGCCTCTCCATCAGGCTCAGGCCCAGGCCCTTGGAGGCCGCCCTGAGGGAGACGAGGCATGGGAGCGACGCATGGGTCAACCTACCTACACATACAGTACATTTACATATTTAGCTCCTATCCAAAGCAATGTACAATTATGAAAACGGAGTCAGTCAGTCCCCAGAGCAACTGGGGTTAAAGACCTTCCTTACGGGCCCAACGGTGACACCACTCTGCTGACCTTGGGATCTGAACCACTGATCTTCCGATCACAGGCACAAAGGCCAAGCCTGCAGAGCTACACACCTCGCCTATGTCAACTCCGACCACCCAAGTACTATCTTTACTATTACTCCTTGATAATCTATCCACAGATTCCCGTGGGTCAAGGGGTCACAGATATGATTGTTGGTTAGACAGAATCAACGCATCGAGCTTTCTTTGCAAGGGCAGATGACTAACCCCGGCGGTGCAAGGACAGCTTAGGGGCCGGCGGGGCCTTACGCGGGTGACTTGACCACGGGCGGGAGCTGCTGGTGGTCTCCGGCCAAGACGCAGCGACGGGCTCTGAGCAGGGGGATCCAGCAGCTGCCCTCCAGCGCCTGGCCGCATTCGTCGATCACCAGCAGGTCAAAGTGTTCAGCGGGCAGGACCTTCAGTGGCCCGTCGTCGCTGGCCCCTGGCGAGGGTGGAACAGCATTTATGTCGTCATCATCGTGTGACAAAGCAGGACATGTGACCTTGGGCCTGACTGTCACACAGAACTGCCGTCTGCAACTACAGTGCTCATTCTGTCAGTTTAGATGTCACACGTATAATAAACCAGATTCTGCAAGAAAGTGATTTTACAGGGACAGGTCAGTAGGGGGCGCAGTCATTAAGGATCTATACCAAAACGCTAAAGAAAGTGGTTTCTTCTAATATCCAAGTGCATGACCTGCCATGTAGGAGAGCGTGAATGTGAGATGGGGTCTCTAGTGCATCTGCAGCTCACCCGTGTTGGTGGCCAGCATCACATCGGCGCCTTTGAGGGTCTGCCTCATGGCTGCCTCCTCCCTGCCAGCCAGTTCCCTCCGCAGCTCCCGCACCTCCGCCCTAAGCTGACTCCGCTCGCCTTTGTCACGCACCCTCTTCATCTTCGCCTTCATCAAGACAGAAAAAGAAACAGACCAGAATAGACAAATAAGGAAAAAATGACAGCTTTGGTGTTTGTGACAGGGTTGGGACGACGTTGTCCCATCAGCCACATCTGCATGGTGAAAGTGCAAAAACCCGACATGGAGGAGCAACCAGGCGGAGGCGACGACTGCGCTGCTCTCTGCCTGCACCCCCTACAAGATGCAAATTATAGCGTGCTGAATTATGCGACTAATGGCAGCCTTCTTGGCATAACACCCAGGGTGGCATCTCACACCCCCGTATTACAGAAACAGTGTCAGGCCACGAATTTAAGTGCTAAATCTGTCCAAGACCAGAGGACCAAATGTGTCCAAAAGTTAAACAAATTCTCAGACTGGGCCGACGATTCCGGAGGTTCGGAGCCGCCACACTTCACATGCCTGTGGGATGATTACCAGAAGCCAAGGGAGCTATGGGTGGCTGTGTGGCTCAACAGGTTCGGCTTCCATGCCTGTGATCAGAAGGTCACCAGTTCAAATCCCACCCTTAGCAGAAGGGAGATGTGCCCTCCAAGCTCCCCCCCCCCGCAAAAAAATTTTTTTTTTTATATATTTCCAATCAAAGGTAACCCAATAAACTGTACCTTCCCCGTCAAGCAGATGGATGTAAGTTAACAAAGCCACAATCCTGGGCTAACGTATCGTGTCTGTTCTATGTTAATCAGCCATTCCAATGGCTAAAGCCACTTCCTGTGCGGCTGGGATATTTTAAACTTGCCAGAACGCCCCGTAATGCGTTGATGTCTGGACTGCAAAACTCTGTCTGTGCTCAATGATGCAATGTCATAATTCTATGTTCTCACTGGATAAATGTTCAGGCAATAAGAAGATATAATTATCTCAAAATAAAATTTCCCAGGGTCCATTTTGCTGCAAGCAACACATGTAGTGAGTCATAGTGGTGGGAAAGAGAGTTTGTTTACTCGGAGTTTAACACTGTACAGCTCTTCCGTGACGACTCCTGTCACTTCCCATCGGGTTTCAGACAGAAGTGAGTAAACTGGGACCTGATACGATTAAACTCAATAAAAACATCCAAATAAAGGCAACAAACGCAGGCGAAACTAAGCCAAACAAAAAATGTTTTCTGTCAGTACCAAAGATCTCCACTCTTTGTAGCGGCTATGTTTGTAACTTTGTGTATAGCAATTAAGAACAGTCATGAACACAGAATCATAACATCGCCTCATGGAGTTTTTTAACGCTTTTTTATGATATGCCTGTTGCCTTTTTCAGTTCAAAAAGCAGACAGATGAGACGGGCACATAGTGTCCTCTGCTCCACAGGCAGAAACGTTATGGTCCGAATTTGATGCTGAATCCACAGGGCGTTTCCCTACAGGCCACTGACTGGCCTGACAGGGTGTGACAACCTGCTGACAGACCTCAGGCAGGAACGCTGACGGCCAGACTCCACTGAGAGGGTCTGCAGGACCAGCACGTCCAGGTCCTTCAGGAAAATGGGCCAACTGGCTTCATTCAGACTCCGGGGAGACATGAGAACAGGAGGCCTTCGACTTTTATGACATGGTGTGTGTGTGTGGGTTATACATTGTGGGGACCAAATGTCTCCACAATAAGATAAAAACCTGTTATTTTGATATTGCGGGGACCATTTTTTTGGTCCCCACAAGAGAAAACTCAATTTTAAAACAAATCTGTGACTGCAATCAAAAAACTAAAAATGTCATAACTCTTGTATTTTGTTTGGTTACTTATAGTTATGGTTAGGGCTGGGTAGGGGGCTACAGTTGTCATTGCTGTGATTATGATTTTTACCATAGAAAAAAATGGACGGTCCCCACAAAGATATGAATACAAACATATGTGTGTGTGTGTGTGTGTGTGTGTGTGCATAAGATCACCCGTACGTTACGTTACATATGCACTGTCCATAAACTAACCTCAGGTTATTTACCAGCGATTCATGTAACAGCAGCCAGTGAGCATAAAGAACACTAACATATGGCTTGTTGTCTACAGCTTCCAAGGAGCCCGACGGGGCGGCGCACGTACCAAGGCCTTGTCGATGTCGCTGCGGATGTCGGCGACGATGGAGGCGCCATCGCCGTGGGCCAGCGCAGCCTCCAGGGAGTGCTTATGCGCTGCCTCCAGCAGGCGTGCGGGGTGACCCAGACGCAGCACCCGCGCCTTGCCCCCTACCAGCCTCTCCAGCAGGTTGTCAACAGCCACGTTAGACGGAGCACAGCAGAGGACCTGTGGGAAAACCCGGGATTAGCGCTAAGCAAATGTAGTAAAGGACAGCTAAACCTAAGTTAGCCACAAACATTGCAGTAGCTAATTAGCATTGTTAGCTTTGAACAAATACTAGAGAATTGGTGTAGCATTATGCATTAACATCACAACAGTCAACTAAGCAATTTTGGCTTGATATTAGAAAAATGACAATGTATCTCCTGGGATCTGCAGTCCAGTTATTTCCTTCAAACCATGGTCGCTGCTGTAAGTTGGCTAACCCACCAATAAAAACAATTGTTTTTTTTTCTTCTTTTTTTTTCATTAAATAAAGCAACAGCAAAAAGGAGTCACATTCCCATGGAGACAAATTTCCTGTTCACCTTCAGCCCACGTCGAACAGCTTGCAGGATAATCTCCACCACGGTGGTGGTCTTCCCTGTTCCAGGGGGCCCGTGGATGATGGCGACTTCCCGCTGGGACAGAGCGAAGGACACAGCTTCCCTCTGGGACTCGTCCAAATCAGGGTTGAAGAACTCCACATCACCTGAAAATAAAAAAGGAAGCCAATCAGAAAACAGAAAACAAAAGGAAACCAATCAGAAAATAGAACCCATAAGCACATGCAAAATAATCCCACTCCCAGAATGCCTGATGGTTGAGGAGACTGAAGACTGACTTTGTTTATTAAAAAATCCCTTTGGGATATAGTGCCTTTTATTCACAGTGGGTAAAAAATGATAATAATGTTTTCTTATTAGCTATAATATTTTTAGTATTACCGGTACTTGGAAGGCTTGTTGGAAAACTCAAAAAACAATTCTGAGCTCTGGTAGGTAGGTGTAATTTGCATGCCAAATTTCATCAAAATCAAAAAGGCCATTTGTTGAATTAAAATGGAATGACCTATATCTAATATACATAGAAATATAATCATGCTTTTACAAGACACCTTTTTCCCCAAAGCAACTGACATTCATCTATTTATTTAGCACAATATTTAGAAAAAAAATTCTAGTTGATCATGGGTACAGCGACAATGCTACAGAGATATTTCAATAATAATAAAATAATCAATGAAAAACAAATTAAGAAAGGAAATCTTACTTGACTGTAGAGGGGTTCCTGGTTGAGAAGAGCCAAAAAATAAATTTATGAGACTGGAAGCTACACCAGCACGGTAGTTGTTGAGGGCGGTCAGGGCACTATAGGCAGTGCAAGAAATTGTATTAGAAATCATCAATGCAGGACATGCAAGGCTAATGACTGGTAAGACAGTGCTACTCAAAGACTTTCCACAAAGGGAAAAAACTGCCTAAGTACTATTACAGAAAATGACAGATCAAGAGCCTAATTTTCAGTGTTTACTTGCATCAATAAGCACACGACCCCCTAAGTAAAATCTGTGCACAAAGAAGCAACACACTTTTTCAGGCGCTTGTAGGTAACGTCATTGGCTAGTTTCAGGAGATTGTAAAGAGCTTCCCCATCCAAACCAAGGCCATCATGAGACTCGTCAAACGCCACAGATACAGCCGACTGGGTCACGCGCGTCACCACCCCCGTGCCCAGCTGCGAGGCCGCACTGATTCCGGCCGTGTCGTACACGCCCACGATGTCTCCTAATGAAAAGATTGAAAGAGACACTATGAAGACACTGAGAGCATGTCTGACATCCTGTTAACTGGTTGAGTGGTGATGGCAGTCATATTCTAGGCTGTCCTTTAAACTTTAAATGCGATAGTTAACTGCTTCATCCCATGAAACAGAGCAGTATTTAATGTCCCTTGTAGAAACAATGCCATAAATTTTCTCTGCTGTTATAACTGCCAGTAGAGATTACTTGGATGAATCAGAGATATTTTCTTGATAATAAAGGTACTCCGATGGTGAACATACTGCAAATTTATTTGTTAGCAATGAATACTGAGTGTATTTTTAGTAAATGTTAAGCGAGTAACATGCAAATATAGAAAACCTTACTGCGTGCAAAAACTTTTGTCTGGTAGTGTAGTTTGGGATGAGCTGGATCAAAAAGTAATAGCAAGATACCCAGCTTGTTCCCAGAACTTTATATCATATAGTTCTAGCATTTATATGCATCATGTGCTTTCATGTAATCTGGTCTTACCAGGGCTGAAGCTGTTGCTCGGCAAGGTGGAACTGGCCACGTGCTTTCGCGGTTCAAACACTACAAGGAGGCGTCCGTACAAGCTGGTCCTTTCACTGGCTACATGCAGCTTCAGTAGACAAACGCCTTTGCGTTGTAAATCTTTAAGAGAGGCATTCTCCTGCAATGACCTTCAGAAAAAAAATACACAAATTAAAGCTAATTACTGCAAGAGCTGTCACTGTTGTTAATACTAGCATATGCACGTCAACTTAACTGCAGTGAAAACAAGGAGTCAGATGATAGAAAGCTTGTACATTTAGGTGAAAACTGGTGAGCCATAAAAAAGACTTCATGCTCAAATCTTTGCTTTTACTATTATTATTATTAAGGTGCTACTACAAAAGGACACTTTAAGTTAAACAGGTTCGCCGACAAAACGCATAACTATCGCATGGTTTTGATTTCTCGATACAATCATACTGAAAGCTCCACTGATCTGTAAACTTTGACAAAAAGAAGTTTCGCATCTGTACGACTTGTCTCGGCCATTTTAGGCACAAATGACAGCGGTGCCGCAGAATAACATTACTACCTGGCGTCGCAGGAGAGACCCACCGGGGTATTCGTTCGTAACCCGTAAATTAATGCAGGGAGGCTAAAGATGGTGGTATATACATTTTAATCTGTAGTGAGATAAGCCTCCATAGCAGATCATTTCTGAATTAAAATATTTTCTGTGTGGTTTAATCACATCACAATCCGTGACATGTACATCCCACAGTCGTGATAGCAGCAAAGAAAAAAACGTGAGTCTTACGGGTAAAACATACGAGCACTATACTTACACTGATATAACGTCTGTGCTGGGTTATATTTAATACCAGTTAGCATATACAAGCATTGAATTTGGCTATACGAGTGGTAACAGCACTAATTCGCGCCAGAATACATAAATTTTCACATGCATTAAATTGCTTTATTCTGATACATTTCATTTATACGACACAGGAGAACTGCACAGTACCGAGTTTCTGCCAATTCGGCCTCTCTTTCTTCCCGTAGCAGCTCCAGCGATTTGGAGACAAAACTTTCAACTTCCATGTCGCTAAAGGCACAATTTCATAAAACACCAAATTACTGAACCAGTCACCAGAATAGACACTGTGCTGTATACACGACAATGAACAGTCTACAAGACAGTTATACAAAGTACAGAAGAGATTCAGGTGTCATCACTGATGTGTTATCTACAGTCACAACAGAATTATTTAAATGGTGTCTCAAGTGTAGAACGCTTACGTAAACTGTATATCTAACCGACACCGAGTTAATATAACGTACTATCTGCATTTGCACTTCTCAAGCAAGTTACCTAAACACCGGAAGACGGTGTCCGGCTGTTATTGTTCCGGACCAGCGTTTGGCGAATAGCGACAGAGTTCCGCCTCCAAAATATATCCGAAGCTATTCTCCGAACTTAGGTATTTTCTCCAACTAAATACCATTATTCACACATTTTGTAAACACATAAGGTACAGCTGGTATTATTGCGATAAAAAAGTATGATTTATAGACTTCAGTGTAATCATTTGTTGTCGAAATGATTCGCCTCCTGCTATTATGCAACTATTGCGTAGTGTTATATACATATCTAATAATGTTACATCATTGATTCGATATGTCAAACATTCAATTCAATTAAATTCAAAAGTACTTTATTTGATGGCCAATTCAAAACAAGTAGGTAAGTAATAATAATGGCCAAACTTTTCATCGACACACACGCTTGAATGCTAACAATCTAAATCGCACTAAACACCGACAAAAAAACTTTTTATGGTGTATAGATATGAATTACAAGTCTATAAAACAACTAATGAACATCACATAATTTCACTTATATTTTCAAGTACAGTGTACATAATAAAAACATCTTTTGTCGAAATATTGAGACAAATTCAGAAGCTGTAACTCGTTAGATAACATTTGAAACTAACGCTGACAATAATAATACTATGCATAAGCCTATTTGTCCACTAGGTGGTGCTATGAAACTGGAGTAGGCTATATTTGGGCGAAAATTAAACGACCGATAATGGAGATAAGGTTAACTGTAAATTATGATTTCCTGATAGGTTCTAAATCGGTTCTGCAAATTTTATTTGTTCTAAACTGAAATTACTGCATGAACTATAAGTTCAGTTAAGTGAACTAGAGTAAAACTAAAAGAAATTCTCAGGCATTATATAATTATTCAAAATTGAAATCATATTGCTTAAAATAATATGTATATTTAATTTAATATCTTACCAAAATGCCTTGCACCCGTAGCTTCCCAGCGAGGGGGTACAGGGACAGGATCCAGCTTACGGTCTTATATCCAATAAAGGGAGTGGGAGAAACATCCAGGAGGGGAAGCCATGTCATTGCATAACTCAAGTCATACACACAATGAGACATCGATTTGCCAAACCCCAAGTCTTTGGGATGTTTTCTTACGGAAACGCTTGTGACAAGGAAATAAAATAACAAAACTCTACTCACACACAAAGACATCCTGGAGATGCCAGGCAATTGTGCCAATGTAGGAAGTCATTTTGAAAATATAAATCACATTTCATATCAGTGCCATTTTTTCAGTCATACGTCTCCCGTCTCAATTAGTCCTGTGTTGTCGTTTGATCCCTACATTATATTACTGAATCGTCATCTGCGGTTCGTGTAAACTGGACAAACATCATTGCCAACTTAGTAGTGTGATTTTTTTTTGGTTTTACACTGTCTTGGACTTGATTTATGCTCAGATATATTGAAAACATTTATATATGCAGTATATCAAAGATATATTTAAATCAATCATAATGAGAATGCTGGTTTGCCAGTTCTGTCAGGGTCAGTACCATGGGCGTAAATTACGGGGGGGATGGGGGGGTTGTAGCCCCCCCCAATAAATCAAAACCAGCTAATACAACCGACCCAAATAACCATGTTTCCCTCGTAATGGGTGGAGACCTCAACCCCCCCAATGTTCCACCCAAAGTTATGCCCTTGGTCAGCACCCAGGTGTCACTGGCCATTCTGTCCTCCCCGTTGTCAGTCTTTAGTGTGTTTCCCCTTCTCCCCATGAGCTGAGTGTGTGGCTACCTGTAAACCTCTCTGTAGTGTTAAGATCCTGCCTCCTCTGTTTTTATGTTTTTTTTTTTTTTAGATTTTGTTCCCTAGTATTTCATTTGTATCAGTTTTTTAGTTACTGTGTTTTGTGACTTGTATCCAGTTTTGGTTTTCTGCTTTGTGCCCTTTGTTGTGTTTTACCCGTCTTTGTTATTCCCCAGTGTTAAATTCTGATTCCTTGTTTCTCTGTCAGTTTCTTAGTTTCCCTGTTTGATCTCCCAGTTCCTTGATTTAATTATTAGTTTCACCTGTTGCCTGTTTTCTTGTACCAGTCCTTGTGTGTTACCTGATTTCTCGTCGCCCTGCACCCTCCCTGATTGGTTAGTTGTTTCATGTCTCACTCCTCCTGTGTTGCTACCCGGTTCGGTTGTGTATTTAGGTTCCTGTCTCGGTTCAGGGGCCTGTTTCACAAAGCAGGATTTCTTGCTTGGCAGGATAACTTGTAGGATTTAAGGTAGCCTTGGCCAAATGTAAGAGGATGAAAATAAAGTCTATTTAGCCCAGACTACCTTAAATCTGACAAGTTATCCGGTTAAGCAAGAAATCCTGCTTCGTGAAACAGGCCCCAGTTCCTTGGTGGGTCATTGTATTTCCGAAGATGTTTCAGAGTGTTAGAAGTTATCCTGTGTTATTTAATTTCTGTACTTTGTTCCCTGTCTGCTTGCTCCTTGTGTTGCCCTGTTCCAAGGCCTTGTTCCCTTGACCTTTTTTTAGTTAGTCTTTGTTTTCCCTGTTTTGCTTTTTGACCCCTAGTGGTCTGTTTTTGTAGTGTTCCCAGTGTTTTCAGTTTCTCTTAATAAACCTCTGTGTTCCTGTGAGCCGCCAGTGGATTGTCCACCTTTTCCTGCCTGCACCACGCCAAACCCCCCCCCGTGCCAGAAACTCCCAGGATCGTGACAGACTCATGCATCCGATGAGACACAAGAAATCTTACGGCAAATCTATACTACTCCATTATAAACCTAAAATTTGCTACATCAAAAGCATTGGGGCAGTTTACAGACTATTTACAAGGTAATAAAACTGTTACATACATGTAAATGTAAATGCATGTGCAGACTTGTCTGGAATTCAAAATTTCACGTCAGCCAGATGATTAAAGTTGGCAACCCCAAGGATATAAATAAATCATTTCCATTTCCAGATTGAACATGATTAAGTCGTTTGAGGCTTACATAAACAAAACTGTAAGGTATAATGAGACCCCCAAGGACAACACCACGAACGCATTAAATAACGAAGGTTCAACAGACATCAGGCATGAGTAACTGAAAGCCTTGTTTGATACATAGCTAATTATTTTCTTGCTCTAGTGTGGATCAAAATGTCAATTTCATCTAAATGTACACTTCCTTATCAGAAAAAAATCACAGTATTAATGGGTCCAATGAAGCAAACCCACAAGAGCATTCAGAATTTGACAAAAAAAAAGTCATTCTGATGATCAGTCAATTGGCATTTCAGAAGCTGCAAAAGAAGCATTTGATATTTTATGAGGAAGACTTGAAAGAGTATGACATTAAAGTCAGTAATGCTTCAGGGTACTCAGATGTTCACACAAATCTTTAAAGAGGAAGATTCTGTATCTCAGAGGAGAATAGACAGCTTTGTTCATCTGACTGTGCAGGACTTTCTGGCGGCTGCGTTTGTATTTCATGAGTACCAAGCGGGCAGGAGGAATCTCAACAGAAGGCAAGCTGCAGAACCCTCAGTTAGTCAGTTCCTCCAAAGTGCAGTAAAAAGGGCTTTATGTAGTCAAAACGGACACCTCGATCTTTTCCTCCGTTTTCTTTTTGGCATCTCTCTAGACTCCAATCAAAGTCTCCTACGAGGTCTACTGAGACAGACAGAGAGCTAATTTATCCCAGCAGAGAGCATAAAAGAGCGTAAAAGAAACTGTTAAATGTATCAAGAAGATAATCAGGGGGAACACAGCTGATACGGGATGTGTTTGACCTGACGAAATACACAAGATCAGAGTTGGCACTTTCACATCTACTGCTGATGATCAAAATCTCCAGAGCAGTGCTGTAAGTGTTCTGTGGAGACAGTCGTTCAAAATATGTATGATTTAACATTTTGGTGAAATAAACTTGTTGGCTGTGACAGGCATCTTAGAGGATTACTTCATTAATTAAGTAATGAGTGCATCTGCCACTTGAAAGGAGTATTTTCATGGGTAACAGGACCATATTCATACGTATTAATAAAACATATTTTTTCAGACTGAATCAGTATAGACTCAAAAATAACAGCTGTAAGGTTCTGGCTCCAACTAACAGCTCTGCCTGCTCTCAGCTGTGGGACCTGAGTGATAATGTCCTTAAAGATTCAGGAGTGAAGCTGTTCTCTGCAGTGTTGGGGAATCCCCACTGTAAACTGGAGACTCTGAGGTCAGTACATCTGTCATATCTTTATTGTTTCCAATGTCACCTATAACATTGTTTTAGTTAATAAATGTATTATTTGTGGTTTCTTAAATCATTGACATAACACCTGTCATGGGAAGTTGTGTAATTCAAATAACACCTGTCGTGGGAAGTTGTGTAATTCAAATGTATACTTTTTTACTATTTGTATCCATCCATTCATCTACTAATTGCATCACTGCCATTTCCACAGGAAACATGGAGCACAATGCATGATGGGATGTTAATCAATCACAGTGCACACAGAGACACCACAAACACTATGGCAGTTTAGAGTCTCCAGTTCATTTTGGGTCCTGTCTTTTGGACTGTTTCAGAACATGCAAACTATAAAGTATTATTATTAAATAAATTTGTTTTTTTTTGATGTGAACTGACAGACAAATGCTGTGATGCTCTGGATTCCACTATCGGCTCAGATGCTCACCTCAGAGGGTTGCACCTGCGTTACAGTGACCTGCAGGATTCAGGAAGCTGCTCAGTGCTGCACTGGAGAATCCACACTGTGAACTGGGGATACTGAGGTCGGTATGTTCAGATAAATCAGAACTGAAGACCCAAATGTCACTGCTGACATTTGCCTGACGTCCCGCAACCCCGCCCCCCACCCCCCGCAATATATCTGATTGTTTTTGTGTTTCGTTGGTCCTGTTGCTGTACATACTTGACCCAAGATGCTCTTACACTGTTACATATAGCCTTATTAATATCCAGGGAGCTGAGAGAAGTGGGTAATTTATGCTAGGGTCATTTAGGGTCGTGAGAGGGGAGTAGAGGGTGTAAGGAAATGTAGTAAAGATGCCCAGACATTACGATCATGGTGGAAGTCAGGGAGAGAATGGGGAAACCATCCGGCACCACTAGGGTGATAAAGTAACTGAAATAGCAGTAGTCAGATACTATATGCTGCATCCCATTTGAACTCAGTTGAAATTTGAGTTCCTAGTTGGAAATGAACGCCCCTTGAAGTGGGAATTCCTACTCGGAAAGTCAGAGGAACCTCTGCAACCCTGACCTCAGAATTCAAGATGGCTGCACCCTTCATCAAAGTGAAAGCTGTACAACCCGTTTCCAAAAAAAGTTGGGATGCTGGGTAAAATGTAAATAAAAATAGAGTGCAGTGATTTACAAACCATATAAACCAGGGGCCTGTACTATGAAGCGGGGTTACTGGCTTATCGGGGCAACTTTTTGGATCAGAGCCCAGAACCTCCAGTGACCCCACAAAGATCACAGCATTGTTGGCAAAGTCAAAATCAATAAATCTTTCTTCACCAACAGATGCCCCACAACTGCTGGACCCCACGACCCTGCTTAACCCCCAGTCCACGCTAGCGCTGAACAGAGTAGTAGCAAGAACACATCCCTGGCGAACCCCAGAATCAACTGCGAAGAACACAGAGGTTCTCCCTTCACTCTGCACAGCACTCACTGTACCGGTATACAGGCCGGCTATGATGTCCAGCAGCTTCGGGGAGATCCCGCAAAGTTTCAGGATGTTCCACAGGGCAACTCCATCAACTGAGTCAAGTGATTTACAAAAATCAACAAAGGCTGCAAAGAACCTCTGCCGATATTCGCGCTTGCGCTCAATGAGAACCCTCAACAGGACTTAACAGCTCTCTGGCCAGCTGGTTGGAGGTGCTTGTGGAGGTACCCTCCTCCTCAGCTGGTCGCTGCTGTCGCACCAGAGGGCCACCACATCAGCGCCAAGGGGAAGGGCTGCTCCGGGCAACAAGTCCAGACCAATGATGCAGGGCTTGGAGATGTCAGCAAGCCTGACCTCCTGCCCCACTGTGTATCTGGCCAGCTGGACTCGTAGCTGCCTTTTGCCCCTCATGGCTGTGTGCATTCCAGTCACCTGCATCAGCTGCACATCAGTGATTTTCTAGCAGAGGACAGCATTGTCTCGACCCACTCAGCCTCTGCCAAGGCCTCGCCAAGCCTGGCTGGCACCTGCAGCTCGATGTATTGGCACAACCACTCCAATTTTAGAGCCTTAACATAGGCTTGGTGAGCCAGCTCTTTCTGTGCACCCCCGGGGAACTGTGGGTAGCCCCCCCACACACACACACACAGAGTTCTGATTCTTATGAACTGACCCAAAGCGTGCACAAAATAATGTAAATATTTCCTTGCAAAGGATTGTTCTGAATGTCCTTTGCAAATTTCATAACTATAAAACTGCAAGAAAAAGTAGCAAGTCTGGATATCACTGAAGTGTCTTAGTATACCTGAGTCACCGAATAATTTATTATTTTTTATTGTCCCACAGCAAAAAAAAATCTTTCTATTTGTCTTGGGTAGAACTGGAGAATTATCATGAATTAAATGTAGGAAATGTATTCTTATATTCCTGAAGGAGACATAAACAGATGTCTGACCTGTGAGATCCTCAGCTGTGAATGTGTGCAATTTGCCAGCAGGAGGCGCTGTCCAGCTTTCAGGTGCTGTAACAGCTGCACAGGAAGAGGAAATATAGCCTAGCCTGCTGTCACATATTCAACAGATCTCAGATGATTAAAAAAATGAATAATTCAAAGCCTGTCACCACTCCTACAGCTATCTGGCTTTTCTGTGTTACTGTCTCCGTAGAAATTTTGTACTGAAGATTAGGGTTTCCATGCAACATATCCTTTTTAGTAATGACACTCTGGTGATGCTGGTGGGGAGATTCTATTTTGTCTACCCAGTCTTGCTCTCCATGAGACATATGCACGTGAGAACAGGCATGGCAGCCATGGAGCTGGGGGTTAAGGGGCTCGTACAGATGTGACTGTATGGTTGACAGTGGACTCATACCGGCAACTTTCCGATTATAGGCACAGACACATAGCCTGCTGAGCCAGGCAACTCCTGTTTTCTATTTATTCATGTTGTTTTCAAAATACTATATTTATATTTTCTTCAGAATACTGCTGTCTCAGTGAGGTACCTGGTTTATAGTTCTTGGTCAAACTATTTTAGTCTACGGCGCAAACATGCAGAGTGATTGGATTGGCTGAGTGTTGAATACTGACCCCTTCTGGTCAGTAACAAGTAATTTTAAATTACCTTCATTGTGGTTGCATGGGAGTGACATTGCTGCATCTATTTCAGTTCAAAACCTGGATATAAGTTTCTCTCTTTACCCAACTCTGTTTACTACTGTTGATAAACTAGCTAGTTAATTTGCTGCCAAACTAAATAATGCAATGAATACATATTGAATTGCAAACATAAAAAGCATGTGATATAGTGTAATGACCACAATTAGGCAATAAGCTGGATTATTGAAGAGTGGAACACTAATGATGCTTTAGTAAATTTAAAGCTGTTTCATCCTGCCCTGGAAGATTGTCAAGTATGCTATACCCATTTACAAATTTAAAACTCTCATGTAGCAGTTGGACCTCCAAGCGGAAGGGGGCATCAAAGAGTATTGCAGCGTTACATGAAATCTATTTCGATGCTGTTGTGTGTTGTATAGTTCGATGGTTGGACTTGCTGAAGGCTGAACAAAATTCACCCCTTAACTGGTCTTTGCTTTGTCTCTAAACACCATGTCTTATAACTACGTGGTTACCGCACAGAAACCCACGGCCGTGAATGCCTGCATTACTGGTAATTCGTTTGTTTTTTAAGGAGACGTCACGTTGAGATTTGGGGTTACTAGCTAGGCAGATCCCGTTTCCTCAAGAGCACTGCGCGGGTTATTTCAGGCTGTGCAAGGGCCTTGTGTTGTTTCACATGGAATTGATACCAGCAGCTTTGTTGTTTTTTTAAAAAAAATTATCGAGCCCACTTATTAAAGATAGTGTTTCGGGAGAATCGCTGACAAGCGGTTGCTGGGTTTTTTATTTATTCGTTTATTATCCGCGATATCGTGCTTTTGCATATGGCGCACATTCAGTCACTTAACTGGTGGTCAGACAGCGAGCTGCGTTCGCCTTGTATTTTCATTTTGCTTGCATTTTAGCATGTGCACAACGTGGTGGTAACTTAATATGTGTTGCCACCTCATGCAGACTACGTTTTATTTAGGAGTTTCGTTTCTGCTCACTTAAATTGACAGGCCTTTACAAATACGTGAATGTGTGTAATATTAAAGAGTGACGTTTAAAAGCCCTATGCATGCATAACCAGAACTGTTAAGTTTAAACTCGATAAGAGAGTGTTCAATGTCATTGATTATCCTCGCGATCACATTGAGACGAAGCCGTTCACATGAAGCACAGTGGTTAGAAAAAGTCTGGGAACCCTACTGATGATGCTTGCAGTTTTTTATCCCTTTTTAAGAGCTAGTTTTTTTTTTTTTTTTTTTGATTAATTGGGTTAAGTGCCGCTTGGGACTTGAACTAGAAGCTATTGGGTTGCAAGTCAGATTTTCTAGCCACTGCATTCTGTCCCATTTTTTTATTTGGCACAATTCTTAAGTTGAATCTGAAACCTGTTCAATACAGTTAATTTGTCATCACATTAACTAATGCAAGATGTTGCACTGGTCTCAACAGATAATGAGTATCTGATGGCAGTTTCAAATGCAGTTTTGCAAAATAGCCAGTTGCTTTGAAATTGGTGTACTGTGTATTTCAGTTTATAATTATTTGCATTTTTAAATTTGACATGTACCAGTTGTGTTGGACTTAGACTTGGATTAGCAGGTTGTGTTGATGTAGGGATGGTAAGATTCACTGATTTGAATCGGTGCACTGGCATAAAAGTTCAAAATGTGATTGCCCCAATTTAAGAAAAAAAAGTGTGCACTGGATACAGTTCGGACTCGAGATGCATCGTTTCTAACATCTTTACATTGATCAAATCCGATTTATTAATATATAATGCTTGTTGAATTGCAGTACTAGAGACAAAAATATGTGAAGTAAAAATGGCACTTTTTTGGTTAATTTAATGTACATAAAAAGAACCAAACTACCTTATTGAATTGTATAGCATCATATTCTTTTGCATCACGTCGTATTGCATTGAATCACATCTTGTTGAATTGTATGAATTGCATCGCATTGGGGTGAACTGTATGGTTTCGCATTAGTAGCTGCTTCATATGTATCTTCAATGTATCTCGATCTGTATTGCCTTGGCCTCAGTGACGGAGTTGCACATCCCTAATAGCTTGGCGTCAAGCAGTCGACCTTCGAGATTCCAAAAATCAGCCTTGTAGCTTAGTATTGTCACAATACTAAATTTCAAACTTCGATACAATACCAAGAAAAGTATTGAAATCAGATACCATTTTCTAATATTTCTATACTCAACACAATATATGTGTCTCAGTAGAAAATTTATTTCAGTTGCAATTTTATCTGCATTGAAAACTTTACTAACTTTTGTAAACTTTGCATTGCACGTCTGTCACTGTAATGACATTCAGAGATATTCACAAGTACTAAAACACTATTAAAAATTAGATGTTGCTTTATTATTACAATGCATAATAGACATACATTACTTATACTGTCTTGTATCTCGAAATACAAATGCTTCTAACAACTGCATGACTCTAAAACTTTCAATCTGAATGATAAACACTAATCAACAGGTCATCACAAGATCGTATCTAGTCACAGGTACACAACCCACACGTAAAAATTATTGCAGACCAGGTTCTTAATGTTGGAATGTTTAACCGGCTGCAAAAAAGTTTTAATCCATATTAAAAATGGGCATCATATCTGTCCTTCCACCATGTTTGGCCTCAGTCAGTATTGTGTGGTAGCACAACTTGCATGCAGGTTTGTAGATGTCCTGTGGTTTGCCATCTTTTATTTGGCACAAAGCCAAAATATTTCCAGACGCCAGTCCCAGCCATGCCATTTATCAATTAAGCACAATGGTGAAAGTTCTGATACTTCTGGACTAGTTATCTCCATGTGCAAGAAGGTATAGTCATATAGGTGTCGTCATGTGCGTTGGCCTCAGTGGTCAGAGTGGACCGGAAGTGCACACAGTAGAATTTATACCATGAAAAATGATTGTTGCAACAGTTTTATACATGATAGAATCAGCACTTTCGTTAAAGGTATGTGATCCCTGTCCCCTCCCTCTAGGGCATTTCACGTCCGCTGAGGATTTGAATTTGCTTATTGCTAAGAACACACGACTGGAGATCTATGTGGTGACAGCAGAGGGACTGCGGCCCGTAAAGGAAGTGGGCATGTATGGCAAGATTGCTGTCATGGAGCTCTTCAGGCCAAAGGTGAGGTGTGGCGCTGGCTGTGAGGGCAAGCAGGAAGATCTCCAAGCTGACCGTCGAGAAAGTTCTCAGCTCGTGCAGTGGCTTTGTGTATTGCTCCTCTTTAGCACACTGTCAGACTTTGAGGGCAATGACTGTGTTTGCAGGGCGAGAGTAAAGACCTGCTGTTCATCCTGACGGCCAAGTACAACGCCTGCATCCTGGAGTACAAGCAGACC